ATCATGATTTAATTAAAAGATTTCCTGTGTCATAGTTCTTAAAATCTAAAAGAAAGAAAAAATTTCTTGTTTTATGAATTTAGTTTCTGAAATTCAATTAGGTATAGTGGGTTTTATAACATGTTTGATACAGAATTTTTACGTCCAGCACATAAGACAAAAGAAGCCAAACAAAAGAGTTGTAAAACTGTTGTCTAGTTTTTTGTTTGTTTATTTTTAGTTTTATGAATTATGTTGTATTGAATGAAGTAATGTTTTAAATTTGATCAAAACAATGCCATTTGATAAAGACAATCCAAAAACTAATGCAAAAGTACATATTTTAAATGCAATATTAACTGTAATACAAGAAAAATAATATATGCGAAGATGGAGAATGAAAGATATTAATTTAAATCACCTATTGAAATATCAACTTATTTTAGGTTGTTTAGAAAAATGTTTTATTTACAAATTGTGTCATAAATGACTGAAATTGCTTTTCCTATTTTTCAGGTTGGATTAAAAATAGTTACTATAATCATACAAATAGAGTAAGCACTTTTCGTTGTGCTGTTGTAAGCATTGACTGACTTTAGGATGAACCATGTTAACTCGCACGCTCAAAACAAGTTAACACTATAAAAACTGGATTTTTTGATTAAATTTTTTTTCATACTTCTTATGTAATAAAATCTAAAATTATGGGATCGAAAATTATTATTTTTTTAAATTTTATTTAATTTCGCTTCACTTAACATAACACAAGGTAGTATTAGAGACTTGTTAAATGTTCATAGGTCTTCTAATTTTAAATTCCAGTTATTTCATTATATAGAACACATTTAGAGGGTATAATTTTTAAATTTAAAATTTAAAGTTTTTTTTGACTCCCCTTCTCAATATACGCACTTTTTTCAAAAAAGTTACCAAATTTTTTATAACTTTCAATACCCCAAAAAAAAGATTTTTAAAAGGCCGTAAAAAAAAATTATGTATTTTAAGACCAACTTTATTGCTTCAAATTGTTAAGGATCATTTACATATTCAGCGCAAAATTATTAATTTTTTTAAAAAAGCTTGATTCTAGAGTCCTACTCCAACATTTATATGCATGGAATATATGTCGTTAATACTACTTGAGAAACTTGTTCAAAAAAACCTCTTTAAATTAAAACTTAGTTCGAAATAGACGTGTGTTTAAACTGAATCTCTGTTAAATTTTGATTCTTAAAAAATAAATTTCTTCATTTTATTGAATCTTCGTTAAAGTGAAATCTTTTGAACCATGATAAGTTTAGCTCTTTAACTTCAGAGTGTTCTAGTGTTTCAGAATGTTCTAGTTTTTTTTTAATTTCCTGATGGTTTACTGTACAGGGCCAAGTAGGCTCTCTTGTCAAACCCTTATTCCGACGCTGTCCTTAAGGTCCAAAAATGTAAAAAACGACTTCTTCATTTAAAAGAGAACCTGCCTACCCCAAACCCTCAGACGTTGTTTACACACTCCGCTGCATGTTCTCTCTAAAAATCAGTCGGTGTATGTGCACACCGCTGCGCAAATCCCTAAATATCCCATTTTGCCAATTTCCTAGAAATATGAGTTCGCGGACGCAAAGGACGCTCAACGTCGAAATAGGGGTTTGACAAGAATGCGTTTCACAGGGCCGACGACACCGGGGGGCACGTGCCCCACCACTGTTTTTCTAAAGGAGTTTATATATATATATATATATATATATATATATATATATATATATATATATATATATATATATATATATATATATATATATATATGTATATATATGTATATATATATATATATATATGTATATATATATATATATTATATATATATATATATATATATATATATATATATATATATATATATATGTATATATATATATATATATATATATATATATATATATATATATATGTATATATATATATATATATATATATATATATATATATATATATATATATATATATATATATATATATATATATATATATATATATATATATATATATATATACGAAAGTTCTACATATAGAAGACTTTTTTTAAGAATTGACGGCTCTTCATCACATTTCATTATGTTAAAATAAGGCAAAAAATATTTTTTATTGGTTTTAGTATTTTATTTACAATTTTAGTTACAATTTTAGTTACAATTTTATACCCCAATAAGTATAGACATATAATTAATTACTATTTTACTTTGTAAAATAGTATAGTACATTTCTTGTGGTTGGTAAACTTATTTTTAAGCTGTTGGTTATTGAGCAGCTGTTACCAAAGCCTGAAAAATGAAAAAAAAGATAAAAATGATAAACCATAACATAATATAACGTGTAATAATCAATACTAGCGTTGTTTGTATCCGTAAATCAAAATTGGTTATTAAAAACAAGTTTTACGCGGACTACGAGCGAGTACGCGTAATATATTTTTTTACGCGCACAAATACACAAAATTTTAACGTACAAATAAAAAAATTTAGATTCAAAAATTAAAATATTGAATTATCTAACTTTTCTATGACCAAAGCAAAAATAAAAAGAAAAAGCAATTATTAGCAACAAAAAAAAACTTATTTCGATATTTGTTATTAACAAATACAAATTTTCAGGAAAATAGTTTCGATTGTCAAGTTCATATATTTTTCGAAACTAATTAGAGATATTATAGGATCATTTCTAATTAAGAAGTATTGGTTCTGGTCACAGGGCCGTTTTCACAAGGGTTTGTAGGTTGTGTCTAACCCCCTAGAAAATATTTATTCAAAAATTAGTCGGAAAATTTGGATACTGGAGTCAACAAATTTAGATTTTTATCTGGCAGTCGGCAAAAGTCAACCAACTAGAACCTTTTTTTTTAAGCTTTACTCTGCAAAAATATATTTTTGTCCATAGTCGGCAAAACTCCTTTTTTTTACCCTCTAAAAACTCTTTGCAACGGTCCTGTCTGGTCATCATAACAATCTTTGTATAAAAACATTTAGTCAATATTGCTGAGAAACTACAACTATTATATTTTGAATATATATTTAGTATGTGATTCCCTATATTTAGCGATATTTTCATAATCAAGATCCTTCAATCTACTTAACTCAAATAGAAGAGCCCCATGTAGCTTAGCATGATTAATTACTAACTTTCGAATGTTAGACGCTAAATTTATTTTTTCATGATGAATGTAAGCAATGAACTTTTATTCGTTATTACACGCAAGTTTTAATTTTAAAAGTTTAATTCAGACAGTAGCCCGCCAAATCATGCAAATTATGTTTTTTAATAATCAGCATGATTTATTTGAACTCGAGTTTTTTTATTGTTAATTTTTGAATAACAAATTACCTTGCTTGTGCCAATGAAGTGTGATAAATTTGAAAAAACTTATTGATACAAAATTTAACTTTTTTAAAAAGGTTGTATATTAAATTAAAACATGTTCGAACAGAAAAATGCAAGTTTTAGCTAATAGATAAATAATTTCTAATTCCTCGGAAAATATAAGTTTTAGCAGTGTCCTTTTTTTTTTAAATAATATTTTATATATTAGTAAAGATTTCCAGAAAGTTGCAGGGCTGCGTTATTTATCGTAGAGTCACAACAATTATTTAAATGCAGTTCATGTATAGCCACGTACAAAAATCACCCTCGGAAGTTGCAAATTTATCGAGTTCATGTAGTTTTTTTGAAAATAAATTGCTTGTGAGTATTTCAAATAAAATATTTTATCTCTATAACTCATATTTAATATATTTTCAATGAGAAATAGCTGTCATCAAATATTTCTAGTTAGAATATAGCATTTAGAAAATCATTGTATATTTTTCAGACTATTGCATTATTAACACAAAAAATATCTAAAATTATAAAAATATACATATTTAAACATTCAAGTCAGGCGCGGATGCAGCACTTTTTGATGTTTGAGATACCTAACTTCCAAACATGGAGAAAACTCTAAAAATTTATATGTTTATACTCATATCAAATAAAGATGCTTTGCAAAAAAATTGCAATGGTTGGAGCCTGGGAACAAAAAATCCCTAAAGTTTTAGCTACACCTGCCCCAAACGTGAGAGCGATAAGTTGATAAAATAATTTCTATACTATTCTTAACTAAACCTATATTCATCAATGAATTTTAACTTTCACACAAAAATTTTTTAGTGTTCAAAAATTATGACTATAAAAAGTTTGAACCTTCCTCAGTTTGAGGGGGTTGCAAATTTTATAAGGTAATAAATGTTGAACACTAAGAGGTAATTGTGTGAGTTTTAAAATTTATTGATAAATATAAACTAAGTTGAGAATAGTAAAAAAAGTATTTTATCAACTTGTTGCTCTAACGTTTGGGGTAGGTGTATCTAAAATTTTAGGGCTTTTTTGTTCCCATGCTCCATTCATCGTAATTTTTTGCAAAGCATCCTTTATTTGATATAAATATAAACATAGAAATTTCTGAGGTTAGCTCTATGTCTGGAAGTTAGGTATCTTAAACATCAAAAAATACTGCATCGGCGCCTGTCAGGTACCCTAAAACATGATAAAAAATATTTTTGTTAAAATTGTTTTTCAAGATAATCAAAATAGTACGTAACAAAAAAATCACGCGCAGAAATGAAAATGCCCTAAAGCGAGCAATAAACATTTTTTGAGACATTTTTTGAATTCAAAAAATAGGTCTCAAAAATTAGGTAAATCCCTTAAAAAAATTTAACGGAAAAGTTTTTGACTGAATTTTTAAAATTTCAATTCGCCATGTGACAATCAAAAAAAAAAGTTTTATGTTTTCCAGTGAAAAAATTGATGATCGATCAATCAATATATATTTCGTCAATGAACAAAAAAGAAAGAAAATTTTACAATGTACTTGTAAAATAAAAATAAAATAAAATATATTTTTTAAATTCTGACAGGAGCAAGCAGAAGACAAATAAATATATAAATAACTAAAACGATTGTGACTTCGGTAACTTTCTTTTTAGTTATAAGAAAGTTATAATAAAAATAAAAATTTAATTAAATTCAAGTTTAGGAGGATTTATTAAGGTAATAAAAAAAAGTTGGTTAAAATTAAAAGAAAAAATAAATCACCATTCTTCACCTTTTTTTGTTTTGTTTTAAAAGAAATAGTTAAATTATTTGTTTTTATTTAGAATCTTTTTTAGAATTTTATGCTAATAGAGCAAGTTCTATTTGATTGCTGATTATGAAACTGGTAAGTAATAATTATAATTTAATATTACGTTACATAAAAAGTTATTGTATACAATAACACAATAATTTTTGTTATAAGATGCAAAACTGTTCTAAAATAAATAAATATTTATTAGGTTACAGTGTTCATTAAAGTATTACAACAACAACATCATCAAAAGCAATATATTTATCAGAAATTTTTTTTTTAATTTGTAATATAAATATGTTATATTATAACATTTTCTAATTTATAACTTATAAATTACAAAAAGTATATATACAGTCTATATTCTGGATGGTTCACTCTCATATAGCCTGGTTAAATCAAGGATAGCAACCATGAGCAAATCAAAACAAAAAAAGTAAGCTAATATGCACACAGAAGGTTGCTATTAGTTAACGTTCATATTTATATATCATATATATCTTTTTTTGGTGATAAATCCTTTATCACCAATGATACATTTGTGTTTCTATTTATCTTGGAGTAACAAGTAGTATTTTAATTTAGTTTTGAGGCCATGTTTTCAAATATTGCAAAAAAGGATTGTTTTTAGTTTACTTTATAGTTGATTCCAGTCCATTAATGCAAAGTATTTTATGTTTATTATGTTTACCATAGGATTTTGTATTATATTTTTGCACACTCAGTTCACGTCTACAAGAATTATTTATAAATTGACTGCAAATTGCACTGCCTAGAGTAAACCATTTATTAAGTATATGGTTTATATATTTCTGCAAGTGGTACAAAAAGTCGCTGTTATACTACATAAAGCAACATGGATGGTTCTTTTATTACTTATAAAATCGAATCTTGATTTTATAAAAACTTTTTTATAAGATTACTTGAATTAAAAACTTTTTATACCATTACTTGAATTAAAAACTTTCAAAGTTATTTAATTTTATGAATTAACATTTACTTGATGGTCAAAATCAAATTTTTTAAATAGTGAAGTGATAAGAGTTTAATTTTTATATGGTATGTTGTTTTCACAAACTGATGGTTATAAAAATTAATAATTGTACAGTGTAATAATTGCATCATACAACTATTACTCTGTATAATATTATCTAATAATTGCTGCACAATATAATAATTGCACAATGCAATTTTTTCATGTAGTAAATAATTGCACAGATGTATAGTTGTACAGTGCAATGGTTGCATTGTGCCAAAAATGTACTGTGTATTTGTTGCTGAGTGCAAATATAGTATGATCATTCTATTGTGTAATGTGAATTATGGTTCACAGTGTTATGAGTGCACATTGTAGTTATTACAAAGTGCAATGGATGCACAGTATAATGGTTGCATAATATAAGTTATATATATATATATATATATATATATATATATATATATATATATATATATATATATATATATAAGTATATATATATATATATATATATATATATATATATATATATTTATATATATATATATATATATATATATATATATATATATATATATATATATATATATATATATATATATAAGTATATATATATATATATATATATATATATATATATATATATATATATATATATATATATATATATATATATATATATATATATATATATATACACGTCAAGTGAGAAATTTTGTGCAGGCTTTATTTTGCCCCTGTAAGCTGAATTATATCAATGCGAGTACATTTTAATGCATGTATCAAATGAAATTTTAAAAAATAATAATAACTAACAATAAAACAAAAATAAAATAATAATTAGTAGACAATAATAGTTGTTTTAGCAGATAAATTATTTGTACTTCAAAAAGATAGTATTTCAGGAAATAAAAAATCCTTTGGGATCTAAATCTGTGTCACTATCTACTAAAATGTATTGGCATCTACAGTGCTTAGCTAACTTACAAATTGGAAAATAACTTTATATATCAACATTTCTTGTTGGCAATTAACATTAGAATGAATTATCAGCACTTCTAGGAAATACCTTTTACAATAATATTTGGTATATGTATATTTAGATATAGTATATTAGAAATGCGGTAGTGGTGTGGTGATAGAGCGCTTTTTATTTTACAGTTCTGTTTATAAGGAATTTGTGTATTGGCATAAACTTGGTTTGTTCCCTACTGTATTTCTTATTGTGACCTCTGTGATTTTGAGAAAGTTTGTTTGTTTAAAAGTTCTACTTTTTCAGTTTTATTCTAAATTTTAAATACTTGGATAAGATCTCCTCTTTGTCTTCTCTCTGACAATATCATTAAATTTAGTGTCTGTAAACAGTATTGGTACTGGAGGCTTCTTATGTTTTTTGCCACCCTTGTCATTCTATGCTGCACTTTTTCTAATATGTCGATGTTACCTTTGTAGTTTAGAGACCAAACTGGTGCTGCAAATTCAATCAGCGGTCTAACAAAATTTGTGTATATTTGCTTGACAAGATGATGATCTAAATAGACAAAGGTGTTTTTTATCATCCCCATTATTGCATTTGCTATTGATGAACATGTTACTATGTGTTTCTTCCATTTCAGTGATTTATCAAAGTTTACACCAAGATCATGTTCATTTGTCGAATTGTTAATTTCTGATCCATTAACTGAATTTTATGTTGTTTTTACCGTAATGCATAACCACACATTTACGCTTGTTCAGTTTGATTAACCATTTTTCTGACCACTCTTTTATATTATTTAAATCTCTTTGAACCAAATTAGCGTCTTCAATTGAGTTTACTGCTGATAAGATTTTGGGTTCATCTGCATATTTTTTTACAGTGCTTTTGATTTTCTCTTGTATGTCATTGATGTATACTACAAAAAGGAATGGCAACATGGAGAAACGTATTAAGTGCTGTTCCCTGTGGAACAGCACTTAATACGTTTCTCCATGTTGACACTGCATTACCTTGAACCACTCTTTGTATTCAATTATTCAAAAACACATTAATCTAACTTAAAAATTTTCCTTTTATTCTATATGCATTCAATTTTAACATAAGTCGCTTGTGTGGCACGGTATCAAATGGCTTTGCAAAATCCAGCATTAGAATATCCACAGGTATATTTTTTGATAAATTGTGCTTAATAAAAAAGAGAGTCTCTAAAAGGTTTGTGGTACACGATTTCTGTTTCACAAAACCATGTTGGCATTTTATAGTCAGATTACAGTTGTCAAAAAATTTTTGCATTCCATTTCTCATGACTCCTTTGAATATTTTGCATGCTATTGACGTTATTGACACAGGTCTGTAGTTCGATGCATTTAACTTACATTCTTTTTTTAAAAATTGGTGTCACATTTGCAGCACGCCACTGTAGAGGCAGGTTACTTGTGTTGCAAGATGATTTGTAGATTAACGAAAGTGGCAATGCTACTGACTTTGCACATTGCTACTGACTTTGCACATTGCAATCTCATTTTGGTTATTTTTTACAGTACCATTAGTGTTTAAAATGGCTTTAACTGATTGCTTTGTATCCCTCTGACTGTTTACATATTTATAAAGAAGTTTCGGATTTGATTTTGATTTTATTATCAGGTTTCTTTCATAGTCTTTTCTGGCTAATACAGCTTCTTTTGATACTAATTTTGTTATTGTTTTGTATGCTTTGACCTTTTCTGCATCTTTCCATTTGGTTGCTAAATATATGTATCTTTTATTATTCATCAATTAAAGAAAAAATCTACAATATTTAATGGTTAAAATGATGGACAATATGTCCACTGAAATTGTAATATACAAGATATATATATATATATATATATATATATATATATATATATATATATATATATATATATATATATATATATATATATATATATATATATATATATATATATATATAAATATCTTTAATGAATTTGAATATTTTAAAATGTTGAAAGAATTTTTGATATACTAAAATTTTTTTTTAAGTATGTGCTGAGTAAAGGGTTATGTTCGCCATGCATGGTAATGAAATTTAAACATTTGACAATTATGCTAGATTGTCATTTGGATTTGTCTCCTCTTCTTAACTATCTTCCACTAGCAGCAGTATGTAGGTGGGTTTATATTTTTAATTAGCTTTTACTACCAGCAATAGCATAGTTGTATATATTGTTGTGATTATCAGTATAATATATTTGTGTTTACATGTGTGCAAATTTTTTTTGTTTTTTTGTTTTTTCATTTAAAAAGTATAGATAAACAATTTTAACTTTAGTTTTTTGTTTATGTAAAAGAAAAATATTGTCAAAAATCTTTTATATATTTTGCAGATAATGATATAGGTACCAAACTTTTTTTCTAAGACCATGTTAAAAAAAATAGAATAAACAAAATATATATTATATTTGTTTCAGAAATAAGAAAGATTCACTTAAACAATGGACTTGTTCGGAAATTAAACAGCAACTTGGAACTGAAACAGTTACTTTTTTGTTTGTTTATAAAAAGGGATTTATATAAGTAGTAGTTCAATTAAAAAATAACTCAAAAAACTTTAAAAGTTTCATCAGTGGGTATGGTTATACCTTGTTTGATTATATTTGTATATATTTGATAGAATTTTTTCGAAATTGGAGGAAGAGTCTTCATTGATGGAGTACCTGAAGTTTCAAGCCCTGAGGTTAGTTTTAAAATTTAATAACATATAATTATTTTTTTATATCTAACTTTCAAAATCTTGAATAAAGATTTTATGAGTTAATTTGCAAATTTTTATTTTGTTTTTAATTCATTTATCTTTCCAAGACATGATGGGTACTAGAATTGAAGTTACACAATTTTTCATCTTTTCTGCAACTTTTTTTAAAACCCGTTTTTGATTCTATAACTCTGAAACATTTTTTGCCAACAAGGTTACTGTATATAAAAAAAAGTTGAGTGCAGCTCTATTAGGAACTGCTATCTATTAAATAATTAAATACTATATGCTACATATAATACCATTTACACCATGAGTAAATACCAAACTTTATACTAATCTTTTAACCATATTCAAAAAATATTCAAATATATTAATGTAAATTAGACACCAGCAGTTTATTGTTTTCAGTTGGAGTAGATGGTTTTAAAGGAAATAAGAGTTAAAAAAAAAAACAATAAAAAAACATTAAGTTAATTAAAAGCTTTTTTTTATTTAAAAAATAAGAAATATCAAACTTAAATAAATCGCTTTGAAGCGATTTATTTAAGTTTATATATATATATATATATATATATATATATATATATATATATATATATATATATATATATATATATATATATATATATATATATATATATATATATATATATATATTATATATAATTATTTATTTAAACGATTGTAATTACAATTTATTTAAACAATTTATTTTTTATTTTTTAAAATAATACAAAGAATCCGAAATCGAGAAAAAACGGAGTCGAGAGAAATTGAGAAAAAACTCTGTTAGAGTTCAGAAAAAATGGAGGTTTCGATGATGCTTTATAATTTCGATAATGCTTTGATAAGATAAAAAATAAAACTATTAAATTAATAATTAAACATTGTTTTTGTACTTATTAATTGTATATTTCAATTTATAATTCATTATAAATTAAAAAAAAAAAGTTATATATTTTTATTTCTTAGTAATTAAATATTTTTTTTTATCACGATTCTTTCACAAACAGGTTTTATCTAATAAATGACTTGAATTCTGTGGATGGCTAGTTCATTTTAAAATTGCTTTAGATTTTACACCAGTTGCTTCATATTCTTTTAACTGATCAGTGAAGGTCTTGATTTTTTTTGGCTTTTTAGCTGTGGATTGATTTTGGTTTAGAGCTTCTTGAATTTCGGCAAAAAAGGGTGTCAATTGTGATGGTTCTTCTTGTTTGCTTGATCAACTAATTTTGGTTGGAGACTATTTTATTTTGTTGCAAATATTTAATCAAATAATTTTGCAGCCGAAACTTTAATATCTTTGAAGCTTGTAAAAATGTGTTATTATTTTTTTAAAAATCCGATACTAAAATGATTTTACCATTTTTGTATCTAGGGATTAATGCCTCCGCAAATTTAGAACTGATGTCAGTTTCTACATCTTCATAACAATGTCACACTCTAAAATTTTTTTATTTTGTTTTTCCAAGCGATCTGCAGCAGCAGCAATGACTTCCAATAAACGACAGCAATTTCAAGAAATCCAAGTTAATGTCATTCAAGATGTTAGGCAATTTAGTTCCTCGGGTGTTTTTTTTTACTCCTAAGCTGTAAAAAAAAAAAAAAACTCATCCAAAAGTCTTTTATCTCAAAAACACTGTTTCATTTAGTGCGGTTGTCGAGCAACAGTCCTTTGTTATGTCTGTAATTTTCGTGTATATTTCTTTTAGAACTTCATATCAAAACAATAAATATTTCAAGAACTTAATTAGTATTCGAAGTTTCTTTTTACTTTTTTCGATATTTTTATCATATTCAGTCTTTTCCTCCTAATAGTTATTAAGCAATTCTCTCTCAGTCTCTCCATTTGTTTCCATTTCTGCTTCAATATCTGATTCAGTTTATTTGCTGCCCACAATTTCGTGACAATTTTTTTTAGCGTATATCGTATTAGCGTATATCGTATTGCGTATAGCGTATAGCGTATATCGTATTAGCGTATATCGTATTTAGCGTATAAAATGAGAACACTTTCATTTTCAAAACAACCAATTGTAAAAAATATTGTAAAAAAGCAACGTAGAAAAAAAGAAGAATTTAAATATTTTACCAGAATAAAAAATTCTTCCAAAAACTTTATCATAGTTCCATCGAAGTTTCTCGATTTCTCCCGAACCCTGAAAACTCGAGAAAAATCCAAAGAGATGGAGTTCCGAATGGATCTATGGAAATAATGATAATAATAATATAATTTTTTAATTTTATTTTTCATTTTTTAAAATTTTATTTTTGTTTTTTAATTTTTTATTTTATTTTTAGAGTGGTTTGATTGATTTCTCAACAATAGATGTGATACTTTTAACTAATTTTTATAACATTCTGGCTCTTCCTTATGTAACCGAGGTAATAATATTTATTATGTTTGTAAAAAATTTAAAAAAATAAAAAAATTTATTTATTATGTTTTTTTTATCAGTGGACTCTAGCATTCAAGAATTTGGTAATTTGATGGTGCCAATAGCTTGATGTTTTTTAGCCTATAGCTTGATGTTTTGCTAATTAAATTGTGGCTTCTTACCACTTTCTCATTTTTTTCATCAAGTTTCTTCAAAAAAATAAAACTAATGAAAAGCAAAGATTAAAACATAAGCTGGTCAATCTTGCTTAATATGACATTAACTGGTCAGCCTTGCTTATTATCTTGTTGATAACAATTTACCAACTAGCTTTAAAATGACACCAACTTTTTGGCGTTTTAAAATTTTTAGCAAAAACATATTTTGCAACAGAAGTTTAAATTTAGTTTAAAATTATTATATTATCATATGCAAAAAAAAAAAAAAATACATAAAATAGATAAATAAATACATACATAAAATAAATAAATACATTGATAAAATAAATAGATAAATACATACATAAAATAAATAAATAAATACATAAAATAAATTTTTCTCACAAGTTGAACTTCAACTGAAACAAGTATGATTACGATTCAAGATAGAAAGTTGTTTAAGGTGATTAAGTAAAGTATAATTTAATATATAATACTAATTTTTATCTTTATTTTTAGTATTCTGGGTTTAATGGTAAAGTATTTGCAACTGAGCCTACCTTGCACTTTGGAAGGTAATATTTTATTAAAACATTTTTTAATCACATTAAGGAGTCATTTTTTTTGTTTCAAATTAGTTTATTTTATGGTTTTTGTAATTATTAAGTTTATATTTGTTTTTATTAGTACTTTTCTCTTTTTTCTTATACTTTGATGTAAGTGCCAACTTCTTATGTTAATTAAATGTTAAAGTAAAAACATGCAGAAGAATGGCATGCATACATTGCAGTTGAAACAAGTATATATGAAGCTAAAATTGAGTAATATTTTAATAATAAAAATTAATGTAAATTAATTAATTAATAACTTAATAATACAAATAATGTAAATTAGTTTATTAATAACTTAATAATACAAATAATGTAAATTAATTAATTAATAACTTAATAATACAAATAATGTAAATTAATTAATTCATTAAAATAAAATAATTCAACTATTATATTGCAAACTGTGAATATCAACAAATAATTGATAGTTTGTTTCACATAAATTTGTAAAAATAAGTTTTTGAAAGAAATATTTTACCTTGCTTTATTTAAAACTTTTTAATTAAAAAATAACATTTTGTTTTTTATAATTTAATTGAAAGTTGAAATAAGAAAGTTGAAATAAGAAAGTTGAAATAAGAAAGTTGAAATAAGAAAGTTGAAATAAGAAAGTTGAAATAAGAAAGTTGAAATAAGAAAGTTGAAATAAGAAAGCTGAAATAAGAAAGTTGAAATAAGAAAGTTGAAATAAGAGAGGAATTTAAAAGTGAAAATCAAAAATCAAAAATGTTTTAAAATCATCTATGCTAAATTAGTAGGTTTAAAAATACTTTATGCAAGAGTTATTAATTTGAGCTCCTATAACTTATACATATGAATATACTTATATTTATGAATAAAAAAAAAATCAGCAATGTGATAAAAAACACCTTAATTTTGGTATTCAAAATAAATATTTATTCACAAAATAAAATAATATATATTTATTTGTAAAATAAAATTTAAATTTATTTACAAAGTAAAATAGAATATATATTTTTTTACACATGACAGTTTTGACAAACTTAATTTAAATAATTTATGTACCAACAGCACTATATATTATAATGTTGCGCATAAGTGAATCAATGCAAACAAACAAAACAACAACAAAAATATCTAGAAAACTAGTCTAGAAAGCTTAGCATACTTGATCTCATACAACCAGCGAGAGTATTTTAAAATTTATTTATGTATAAAGGTTCCAGCATGGTTTTAGTTTGCTTGCTTGTGACTAAAATATTCCAAAATTTAACTTGCCATTATTATGGTAATGTTAAAAATGTAAGAATTATTATGTGTGTTCTTATATTCTGTTACAGATAGTCCTATTTGTTTGACCTACATACTAGGGTGCGTTGATTATAGACATTTTAATTAAAAAAATTGGGTTGTTACTGGTGAATTAACTTTTTATATTGACCTGGTTTCTCAAAAAAAACAACAAAAAAAACAAGAAATAGATTCTATTTAATTATTAATTATTATTTTTTTTCTTTATTTAATAAGTATATACAGTTAGGATATAAATGTTTATTTATAATAATAATAACTATTTATTGCTGAAATTTAACAAAATAACAATTAATATATAACAAAAATTTTATTGTTTATTATCTTGAACAAGAGTGTGTAATAAGCACACTCTAAGTCGGTGACTTTATGTTCATTTTTAATATATTTTTCTATTCATTTGAATACTTTCACTGATTTAGATAGTATGATAGATGGAGGAAAAGGATTCCATACAATGATTATTCTATCAAGAATGAAATTCTCTCTTAATAGACATTTTTTTTTTATTAATTCCTTTTTGAATAGAATGAGATTTCTGAATATTTTGAATAGAATGAGAATTAAATCTCCTCTTAACCTATAAGTTTCTAGCGTTGTAACAATCAACTTTTTAAATTGTGATTCATAACTTAGATGTAAGAGGATTCTTGTTTGAGTTGCTCTACTTCAAACTTTTTCAAGATATATCATGTTTCTTTGATGGATTCCAGATTAGTGCTGCATATTCGTCAAGGAGATGAACAAAGGCTTTATACAATAATTTAGCAATTCAGATGGTGCAGAATTATATGAATATATTTTCCTCAAGAATTTGTATAAAATTTAAAAGGAATGGTTTTATTTTAAAATTTGAATTTTAGTATACATCTTAGTTTAAAATTAAAATTAGATTGAGAAATTAGAAAATATTTAAATATTTTTCAGCATGATTTAAATACATTTTGGCATAATATCGCGTAATATTTTTATTGTTATTGATATTAGAAATACAGCAAGATTTTTTTAAAATACTGAATTATTTCAATTAATGTTATAAATTTACTACAAAAATTTATATTTATATTTAATTTATTTTTTATGACAATAAACAAGACCTTAAAAATTTGTCAAATTTTCAAGGTCTTGTTTACTTTTATTTTTAGGTATTAAAATAGGCAGATTATCCATGACATAGTCAATTCTGTTCCTGCATAGGATTTGATAAAAATACCTTGATTTCAGAAGTTATTAGAAGGGTAGTTGAACTTGTTTATAAACCAGTGACTCCCATTATATCAGGTCTACCAATTTTTCAGCATTAAAGTTCAGAACAAGTTTTTCTTGGTGTGGGAGAAAAATCACCTTTTTGTAGATTTTTATTTCCAGTACCTCTAATATCTTTTATCTTACTAATAGCTACACTTCTATTCTCTTCAGTATTAGGACACAACAATGTTTGTAGTATATAATCATTGACAAAAAAACAATCTGATATTTGAATGGAGGGTGATACTATTTAATAACAGTTGCTGCAGTTGGTAAAGTACATATTTTAGATCTTTAATCTAAGAATGTTTAATTTTAATCTTGAACCAACAAGCAAAATAAACACTCACAATCAACTTGGGTTATGAGATCTGTTTTGTTGACCAAATCATTTAATTTAAAATTTAAAATAAGTTTTTTTTTTTCGTTTTTATTTTAATAACTTTATTTATAATTAATATATAATATTTGTTTTGTCCTTTTTATTTTAATTATTTTATTTTAGAATATAAAATGTTCGTTCAGCCATTTTTATTTTAATTATTTTATTTATAATTTAAATTAACACATTCATTTTTTTGTTTTAATTTTAATCATTTAATGGCAAATTAAATATTTCAATTTTACTAAATTGAAATATTTAATTTGCCATTTTTATTTTAATCATTTTAATTAAATTAAAATGATTAAAATAAAAAAGGGCCAAGTTTGATAAAATATAGCAGGGGCCGGGTTTGTGGACAGGGGCTGCATAAAAATTTATACATCCTTAATTTTTTTTTTTAATTCAAAATTTATGTTATATTTAGTATATATATGCATGTTTAAACATCATTATGATCTATATGATCATCATTATCCTTATTACGTTCATGATCATCATGATCTTTATCATCATCATCATCATCATCATCATCATCATCATCATCATCATCATCATCATCATCATCATCATCATCATCATCATCATCATCATCATCATCATCATCATCATCATCGTCATCATCATCATCATCATCATTTTTTTCATCTTTTTCAAAAGAATATCTCTCTTAAGAACAAATGTCCTTTTATTATTGCAAAAAGCTAATGTAAAAAGGTCCTATCCAATGTTAAGCTCTGTTATTTTCAGTTTACTAAAACTTATTTCAGATGTTAGGTTCTAAAGACTTTTGGAAAGTCTTCAACAGTGTCTTTAACTAAAGTAAGTCTAGCATTTAGTCTCTTATTGATGAGTTTGATCTTTTTTCCTTCTTCCTAGAATAGGGAGAATAGAAATGATCTTTCTGATAATCTTACCTCTAAAATGTCTCTACCGAATTGTTATTTAGATTAGTTATTTAGATTAGTTATTTAGTTATTTTCCTCTAACTTTACTATTGAATCTAAAGGCTGTATTCTTCCTGTCATGCCAGTTAAACAGGTTATCCCATTGTTAAACATCTAAATCATTCTAGCATCCAATGTTAAAGTTAATTTTTTGTTAAACACTTCTACAGTTTGTGCTTCAGACAAGATTTCCATCATGGTCTTAAAGAAGTGTTTACTCTCTTTTAATTTTTTTTAACTCTCTTTAATTTTTTCTAAACTATTAAAATATTCTAAATAAGTTGTTCCAATTTTTAAAAACACTAGAAAAAAAATTTGACCTCTCCAACTATCCTACAATTAGTCTTCACTCTGTAATTAATTTCTTTTAAATTTTTTAAGATTATAAAGTCTTTTTTTTCTAACTGCGGTATTGATATTATTCTTGAAGGCCTACTCTCTTATTCATTTCAAGTAACTTTAATGGTACAACAAGGATTTATCTTTGCTTTGATAATAATGATCTTTATGAAAATTTCAATTCTAAAGTGGCTCTATTTGCTTACGAGTCAACTTTATACTCTTTTTTTTTTTTTTTTTTTTGTTATTCACCTCCTCAAGGCTGAGAGGGCCACTACAGATGAGGAGGCTACTTAATAATGGTTATAACCCTCTCTCAACTCTATAACCCCAAAAACGAACCTTGACAAACAAGGCTGCTGCACGGAGAAACAAGTTGAGCGCGGTACTACCAGGGACATGGTGGGCTTTGAACTTGTAACCTCTCGCATTTTAACTCTTGCCTTGACAAAAAGCTTTATACTCTTGTCTTGAAAAGTCTTCCTTTTTTATTGCTTAGAACAAGCAGATGAAGACTAAAAAGCACATTGTAAATCTAGTTAGACCTGCTTTATTTGCCAAGCTTGAGCCACTCTCCCATTATGCAAGTTTGCATTTCTTTTTCTACAAATAAATCAATGCACAAACAAGCTATTATCTCTATTACAATAAACCAAAACTCATTCTTGCTTGGCTTCTTATTCAACAAGTTGCATCCTTTTGCTGTATCTTTCCCTTCATGCTATAAAAACTTTTATTAATTCAGTTTTTTTCCTTGCGCATCAAAAAAGCCTTATAACTCTTACCCATCTTCATGTTTTCCTTTTTTATACAACCTACAACTTTTCAAATCTTCAGTTAACCGTTTCCTAGCTTTTTAACCCTATCCTCTATTTTAAAGTAACTTTTAACTGAATAGTGGTTGCTTGCAACCTTGTTAGAAGTAAATTAGAGCTTAAAAATATATTAAGTTTATGCCAGTATTTAATAAATAATAAATGTAAGTATAAAATTATAATATATAAAGTTTTCTAAATTTTTTTCTAGCTCTGGCTGTCAACCTCTGCCAAATCTTATAATTTTTTCGAGGCCAAAGCTAAGTTTTCAAAAAGTTTCATTTTTAGCCGGGCTGTGCCCCGCTCTCTTACTAATTGTTTAGTAAGAGAGCGGGGCACACCAATATTTATTGATGCCGGATTAATAACGTCTGATGATAAAAAGTTAGTTATCTACCATTGTAAAATTTCTAGGGTGCAAAAAAAAAACCCATCTCTGATCTTAACAAGGATTTTGACAATTTTGACATAAAGTTAAGTTATTTTGACATAAAGTTAAATGCATATTTTGTGATAGGAGAATTGATCAAACCAAACAAATGATTGAACTTTATGGGTCAAATGCAAAATTTCAAGTAACTGGGAAAGAAGAAAACTACTGTGTTTTTATGGAACATGGTAAAAATATTTCCTTTTATTCCTGAGAAAGCAATAAAAAGTGTTAAACTGCAGAGAGCAAATAATATTTTTGCAGAGAGCAAATAATATTTTTGCAGAGAGCAAATAATATTTTTGCAGAGAGCAAATAATATTTTTGCAGAGAGCAAATAATATTTTTGTATAGTTAACTGAGAGATATTTTTGTATGGTTAACTGACAAATCTTTAATGGCTGTTGGAGGAGACTCTACATTATAGTATTTACGGAAAAGAGAAAGATTTTTATAAGAAGTTAAAATTTATTACAAAAATAATTTTAAAATTTTATACATAATGAGTTAAATAAATTTTTTATGAACCAAATATAACTTTGTTTTATTGTTTTTAAGTCTGTGTATTTTATGGAAAATATTGTCTGATAACCTCGTTATTCTGTTTTAAAGAAAATAAAAACAGTTAGTAGTTTCATAAAAAATGGCTAATCACCTAAGCAAATATTTTTCTGATTTAAAAAATTAAATCAGGTTTGAATTCTCTATAAAATTTCACAACTTTTACTTATATCGCAAATTTTTTTAAATCTTTTTAATTAGAGTCTGAAATTGACACACCCTACTACAAACACCCTACTACAAAAAGTACATTTAGTGAGACAAACTACATTTTTCTCAAAACAGAAATGTCAATTTACATGAGGCACAATCAAGTTTGCCAAATTCTTTTTTATAATTATTTAGTCTAAATTGCCATGCTAGTAACTTTTCTGTTGTAAAAATCTAGTTTTGTCAGCTAAAGCAGTTGACCTCAACACTTTGTTGACAACAACATTATTTTGTTTTTATAATATTTCAATAAAGATGGTGTTTTTGATAAAATTTTTGTTGTTTGTTTGTATTGATTCACTTATATCTAACATTGTAATATATAGTATTGTTGTACATAATTTATTCACTCTTGATAAAGATTTTGTTAAAACTGTTGTGTTAAATAAATATATATCTTATTTTGTAAATAAATATATATTTTGTTTTTGTAAATAAATATATATTTTATTTTAAATACACAAAATTAAGTGTTTTTTCACATTTCTGTTTTTTTTTTTTTTTTTTAAACTTGAAAAAAGGAAAACTTTGTCTATCAAAGCCAACTTTAGATACACCATAAGAAGCAATCATGACCGGCATGCCAGACATCTTCAAAAGCCTTTGATATGTCAAGACCAACATTCGTTGCCTCACTGCTTCAATTTAATGCATAAAAAAAATCTTTCTGTTATGCTTGGGTTAAGTCAGCAATAAAAAGAGAGGATTGAAATTCATAATGTCAAAAAGTAGATTAATAAATACAAGAAGAATTATTTAAAGTTTGTAAAATAAAGGTTCAAAGACTAAAAGTTGTAATAAATTATTTCCTACTTCTAAATCTCTTCTATAGCTTGTGGTCATGACAACTTTTTTTTCACAATCTTACAAAGTGTTCTACAGAGTTCTTTTCATAACTCTCTAATTATTAAATACTAAGCTAATTTTTTTTTCCTGCTTGAAAATGACATCTGTGGTTCTACTATTAAAAAAACTCTGGAGATTGCTTAAACCCCTATATCTATCCTCCAATCAGTCTTACTACTATTAGCAAAGTCCTTGAATCCTTAATTAACAAACTTATTATATTTATAACAAATTTATTACAATTGATATGGATTTTGATCCTCTTTTTTTACTGCTGACATGCTAACCATTAGTAGAAAAATACTTGTATTGTAAGGTCTAGTATATTGTATACTAGTATACTTGTTTTCTTTAGAACTTCATGTTGTATGTGTATCTAGGAAACTTTTGAAAATTAAAAGTTTTAACTGTAGCATTAATGTTGTTCTTAATGAACACTCTACTTTATTTCTAGTATTTTCTGGTATACCAAAGGTTCCATCCTTGGTCCTGTGTTGTTCTTCATCTATATTAATGATCTTTCTGATAATCTTACCTCTAAAATGTCTCTACCTTGATAATCTTACCTCTAAAGTGTCTCTACCTTGATAATCATGCCTCTAAAATGTCTCTACCTTGATAATCTTGCCTCTAAAGTGTCTCTACCTGGATAATCTTACCTCTAAAGTGGGTCTACCTTGATAATCTTATTCTAAAGTGTCTCTACTTTGGTAAATAACTGCAAAATTTATTTGCATCTAAAAAGTTAAAAGTTAAAAAAGTTTACTGCAAAAATTTTTTGCAATATTGTTGGCATTCCTATAGTGATGAATGGGAACACTATTATTGAGTCATTTACTTTATGTCTTCTCAAATTATCACCACTAACCTTTCATGGAAAATATACAATCTATTTCAACAATAGCATCTGCCAAGGATGCCTCTCTTTATCATGCTCGTCGTATTACTTTTAATTCCATTCTTTACCTATATGAATCTCTTATTTGTTTTTGTATGGGATACTGTTCTCATATTTGGGTTAGTTTCCCAATGAGGCCATCCCTTTTTAGATATGGTCTAAAAACACATTGTAAATGTTATAGGACCTGCTCTAGCTGCAAAGCTTGAGTTCCTGCTCTATCATTTTAGGATTGCATCTTTTTCCTACAAACATTATTATGGTCACTGCTCAAATGAGCCATCATAACATATTCCATCAACCTTAACTCAATCTTGCATGACTGATCGTTCATCTATGTTGTATCCCTTTACTGTAACTATTCCTTTTTGCTCAACAATATTTTTATTTATCTAGTTTTTTTTTGATTATTGGTGTTTTTGAATTCTCTTTTGTCTTCATATTTTCTTGATGCATATAATTTAAAGTTTTTAATGTCTTCTGGCATTGGCTTTTTTGATCTTTAGCTCTTTTCCTTGTTTTCTGTTAACTCTTAACTTTCTTGCAGTCTGATTAGTTGTGAACAATTATTTTTCTCAACTCAAATTAATTAGTGGTTGTATGCAGCCATATTATGAATTAGTAAAAAAAATCTTTTTTTTTATTTTTATTGAGGAAAATTTTTTTCAATTATTTAGTGGTTCTTGTTATGATTATAATTTTGTTAAGAATATAATAAACTGTTATAAATTGAAATGTTCAATTGTTATACTACTTTTTTCAATTTTTGATCAAGTTTTGTTTTAAATCTGAGTTTGTCCACCATGTTTTGTCCATTACTGTATATATTAAATGTCTGAAACTTTAACTTATTAATATTTGTAATGTATTGAGCTGCAGTTATACAAGAGCTGCAGTTATACAACCATTTTAAAATCTCAAAACAATTATATTCACTTTGTATTGCATTATATATTTTTAAAACATTATTTTTTTTTTCAGATTATATATGGAAGAATTGGTTTCTTACAATGAATCTTTTCTTCAAAAAAAGAAATTTACTCTGTGGAAGAATAAAGATATCCAAAAGTGACGTATTTTACATTTTAATAACCAAAAAGAAAGAAAAATTGTGTTTAGTGTTACGGAGGAATGAGATGTGTATATATATATGTATATATATATATATATATATATATATATATGTATATATATATATATATATATATATATATATGTATATATATATATATATATATATATATATATATATATATATATATATATATATATATATATATATATATATATATGTATATAAATATATATACATATATATATACATATATATATATATACATATATATACATATATATACATATATATACATATATATACATATATATACATATATATACATATATATACATATATATATATATATATATATATATATGTATATATATATATATATAGATAGATATATATATATATATATATATATATATATATATATATATATATATATATATATATATATATATATATATATATCGATGGTTAAGAGCACAAATGAAATATGTCCAACATTAAACATTAGGTAAACATTAAACAAATTTGGTATTAAATTGTGTAAATGAAATGAAAATAAAATAGTAAAAAACAAAACAGAATTAATTGAGGAATGCATTTGGTTAAAAATCATGACAATAAATAAATATCATGAATTATTGTATGTTTTCAAACTTTCAAATTCAGATTTCTCAAAACAATGGTTAATGTATTCCCTTTGTGCTCTTAACCATCAATATATATACATATATAAATATATAAATAAAAATATAATATAAAAAACCATATATATATATATATATATATATATATATATATATATATATATATATATATATATATATATATATATATATATATATATATATATATATATATATATATATATATATATATATATATATATATATATATATATATATATATATATATATATATATATATATATATATATATATATATATATATATATTATATATATATATATATATATATATATATATATATATATATATATATATATATATATATATATATATATATATATATATATATATATATATATATATATATATATATAAATTAGTAGAAAGTCACTAAACAAATTTTTTTTTTCATTTTACACTGTATTTTATCAACAAAGGTTCATCAGAAATAAATGATCAAATTAATAAAATTTCAATTTATACCAAAAAATTAAATTAGCAATAAAATTAAAGTCACAAATGTTTTAACTACTATAAATTTTCACACATTTGTGGAATTTGCTGACACTATTATAAAAAGAATTCTTTAGAAATGATTACTTATGCTTTTTTTTATAAAAATATTTTTAAAAAATGGGGGATTTAATGTAAATTATTTGAGCTCACTTATTTTTATAGTTTTTTAGGAGAAACTTATTTTCGTGCCTGCATTTAGAAATCAATTCCAATTTTTTGTCTAACAAACATTCTTGGTTTGCATGTGTAATTATTTCAAATTTTTCTTGTAGACATAGTATGCATTTTTTGGAAATATTGTTGTATACAGGCACTATTTTAAGGATGGACCAATTCAGTATAAAATCATCAATATTTTTATCTTTTAGTTCCAATATATATTTTGACAGCATGGTGTTTTTTGAATACTTTTTATTTTTAAAAGATTGCTTATAATTGGCAAAATGTTTTTTCCATTCACCCTCTGTTATGCCAATATATTGTTTATCAGGTACATTCTTAGAGGAAACAACACATTTATATACCATATTTTTTGATAAACAACTTCCACTCATCGGACAATTGTTTTTTTGTTTACAATTACAATTTTATGTAGTTCTTTCATTTAGGATTTCTTTTTTATTTAATAGATCATTGTTGTGACTTTTCATAATACTTTCCATATTTTTTGTGCAACTGCATTTAACTTTAATTGTATTTTGATTGAAAATTTTATGTAATTTATTAGAGTGAGGGAAATGCTTATTGACCAATTTTAAAAACACTTTTCCTATGTTAGTTGAAACATTTTTGCTATATGGGGGGTTGAACCAAATTGCATTTCTAGTTCTATTCTGTTTTTTTGTATTCTTTTTTTCAGGGTCAAATTTTAGTTCAAAATTTTCAAAACCACTTTTTTTAAGGGCATCTTCAAATATTCGTTTGGAGGAATTAAATACATTTTCATTAGAGGAGTTTTGGTTTAACCTGTTATTAATTGAAATCGGGATTTCTTATACAATTTGTGGTTGATGATTTGAGTTAATATTAATATACAATAATTCATTGTTTGGTTTTTTGAAAGGCTTATATGAATTTTCAGAGAGGTTAAATGTGACATTAAGAAAGTTCACAAATGTGATTTTCTACTAATTTATAATTGCTCTGTTCTTTTAAGAACATTGAGCACTCTATTTTTGTAGAATACATTTTAAAATTGTTTAAATATATTATATATATATATATATATATATATATATATATATATATATATATATATATATATATTATATATATATATATATATATATATATATATATATATATATATATATATATATATATATATATATATATATATATATATATATATATATATATATATATATATATATATATATATATATATATATATATATATGTATAATAGTAACTTATTTTATATTATTGTCATCATCATCATCGTCATCATCATCATCATCATCATCATCATCATCATCATCATCATCATCATCATCATCATTATTATTCTTTTCAAATTTAGAAAAAAACTGCTGGATATTTACACTTTCTATTTTACACTGCTGGATCTTTACATGCCCAAACCACCTTAGTCTTCTTTGATGTGTCTTATTAGACACACTAACTATTCCAAATCTCTGTTTAAGTTCATTGCTTTTTTTATTATTTACATCATATTTGAGTCACAGCACATGGTTATCTGATTATCATCTTTCACTGTTTCACTGCCATACATAATAATGCTCTGTACACATGTGGTGTTCCGGTTTCATTTAATCTTTAACGCATCACTTGGTGTTAAAAGCAGAGATAATCATCTAAACTTGGCTCAGACACACCTTACTTTTGCTCTTGATGCCTCTTCTGATCCACCAACTAATCTAAATGTATCTCTGAGGTAATGCAACTTTTTTTTTTTTTTTTTTTTTTTTTTTTAATTCACCTCCTCAAGGCCGAGAAGGCCACTACAGACGAGGAGGCTACTTATTTGTGGCTATAACCCTCTCTCAACTCTATAACTCCGAAACACGAACCTTGACGAACAAGGTCGCTGCGCGGAGAAACGAGTTGAGCGCGGTACTACCAGGGACGTGGTGGGGATTGAAAACGGAACCACTTACCAACACACACAACTTATCTATCTTTACACCTCAATTTGTCTTAATCTTTTTTTTTTGACTTCTCTGTAATATGAACATTTTTCACTCTCAGAAAAGGATATAACAAAAACAACAAAGGTAAACATATAAGAAAAACCTTTATTTTACCTTTGATATGATTGATACTTAAGTATACTTTTTAACCAAATTTTGGTGTTTGGGTGTTCATAAAGACTAACAGTAGGAGGTTTTCAAAGAAAAGTATTTTCAGTCTCAAGTATTTCTATTATTTGGTAGAAATTCTTTTGATTCTTCAGATTAATAATCTAACAATTTAGAATTTAATTTAACATTTTTATATTTATAATTAACAATTAATAATTAACAATTTAGATTTGAGTTGTTTTAGGTAGTTATAAGAGTTTTATCTTCTCTATTTTTTTATATTTTTACCTTTGTATTTTTTTAGATTTTTACCTTCTCCTCTATGTGATTTTCATGATGCTGTAACATGGGAAGGAATTTACAAGTGTGTTCTTTTTTAAAACTGTTTATATAATTTTTGTATAAAAATTTATATTTTGATTTCTCTTATTTTAAAATCTTTTTTTTATTAAATGCAATAGCACATTAGTGAATAAATTTTTGTTTTAGTGCTCGAGATGTTTCAAGTTCTATTTCTAAAATACAATGTGTTGGATTTTCAGAGAGAATAGTAATGTTTTATTTGTTTATTTAAAAAATGTTGAAAAGTGAATCACTTTTAACTGCGGTTATAACTCATTAATGTTTGTGTACGCATCACCTTTTAATGTATAATACAATGAAAACAAAGAATGTTGTGTTCAAAATCTATTTTAAAACAAAACACAGAACCTTTATTTTTAATTTCTTACTCTTTGCATTATCTGTACCGATAAATATTAATTTGGGGTCTTCCATAAAGTACATACAAATAGAGAGGGGGGGGGGCTGTTAACTATCTCTCAATGTCTCTTTTAAAATCTGATTTCTTGTTTTTTTAACAAAGCATTGACTTTCATGAGTTTAAAAAATCATTATTCTATTATGTTATGGAGATATGCATTAAGAAAATATATATGATGAATTAATTAAAAATTTTACTATGGGGAGGGGGTTTTAAGTTTGTTTTAACTGCATACATGCTTTATGGATGCCCTCTTTGATCAATTTTTTTTTTCAAAAAATTAAATATTGAGAAATTTATGTCTTCTCCACAGGTTTGTCTTTAGGGCGGAACCAATGTTAGCAGTTCATTAGCTTTGTGTATACCCTGGCAGGATACATATTGCCCTCCTAATCTAACATGGGTGGTTTTCTTAATGTCACATGACTCTTCAAATGTCAAATTAAGCATACAGGATTATTTTAAATCTGAAAATTGCTTGATACCACAGTTTGTGTCATTTTTATTGTTGTCATGAACTATTTTTGCCGTTAGTGGATTATCTTTGATTTTTATGATTAGGGATTGTCCATAAATTGTCACACAATTTTTGACAATTTTTGCCCCTTCTTCCTCCTCCCTTAACAAATTGTCATGCTTCACAGATCTTCATCCTTTCCCTAAAATTACGCCACAAATTCATGTCTCCACCCTCCCCTTCCACCACCCTGAAATTTTTATGTTTTGTTTTAAATACCATAATATTTTTAATTTTAGCTGCTTTTAGTTATCTAATGAATACATTTTACGTATGAATTTTAATTGTTATCATTACTATTAATATTACTTTGAAAGTCATTATTTGTATGTGCGTACAAATAATCAACCCAAAAAAAAAATTATTTTTAGGCAAAAAATCTTTTAATTCTTTAATTTTATACAATGTCATTATAATTGTGTAGAGCCATGGATGATTCATCTAGCATATATTTAGGCGCGGCTATCAAGGATGCAGATTCAACTCCTCTAAAAAGATAGATATTTAAATTTTTGATGTTCTACTATAGTTTTATATGTTTTAACTATTAATGATGTTTAATTATAATTATATTTATTATTTATATATTTTTTAAAGTTTCACATAATGATAATCGATGCCTACATAAATTAATTAATATGACCATAGTCACAGTGTAGTTATATACATTGACTGACTTATTAGGTATGGGGAAGTGAAGTGTATATATATTCTTTTTTGCAATCCTATAATTAGATATAAAGTTGTTAACAGTGACCTAACTGACAAATAACCACCAAAGATATTTTTGATAAGTTAATTAAATAACTTCTTTAGCAATAAATGAGTTTTAAGGTGCAAGTTAACATCACAATATTATATGCTAATGCATATTAACTATTAATGTTATTTAAATAATTATTATATTATTTTTATTATTAGTTATATTATTATTAATTATTTTTTCATAGATGATATATCGGCTACATCTTTGACTGATAAAACTGTAGATGCCGCAGCGAAGTCTGTATAAATCTACTAAAATTTAAATCAATTTAATAAGTTAATTCTTATAAAACTTAAGTCAACTTAAATTGTCAATACAATTTAAGTTGAATTAGAATAGCTGCAGTCAAGTGTACATACATCAACTGAGGGTTTATGATTTAGGCTAAGCATTCTTTAAATCAATAGTTTTTCTAGATTTGAGACTTTAAAGAAAATAAATGTTGCATCACAAAATTGAATATCCTTACCAAATGCTAAACTCCTCCACCCCCCCTCTCCTTATTGCATGAAGTAATTTGTGGACAATCAACAAGGTGAAAGGTAACAAGTCAAAAAAATTCGCCTTCTTTTTAATATTAATGCTGGGAAATGGTTTCTTTTACATGGGTCATTGTCAGGAACAAAAATTCCTATTAGTTTTTATGGACTCTCGCACTGTGGACTCAGAGGTCAAAAAATACGGACTTCTTGGACTCTGGACTTTAAACTCCAATTTTTTTTTTTGTTAACTTTTTTGAGTCAATTAAACAGAGTTTTTAGGGAAAAAATAGTCCCTTAAATGCTCTAAAAATAACTTTTTTTTTTTAAATTAATGTTAACAAACTTTTTACCTTCAAGTTTACATGGAGTAGTGGTGTAGTGGTAGAATGCTCACCATTACTAAACATGTATTTAAACTAAATTGTAGAATGCGTTTTTATTTAATTCCAATGATAAATTATAGCGACTCAAAAAACTTAAAATTTTTTTTTCGACTTCTGTGTATGTAATTTAATAGACTTCAATTGCTGCACTTAAAAAGACTTAATATATCATTGAATAATATCATTGAGAAAACCTATTAGAAAATACTTTCTTTTACTTAAGCATCAATGCAGGTGTTGAACCTCAGATCTCTTGGTTCTGAGCTAAAACAACGCCGTGGCTGCAGTAGGTTTAGATGAGTAAATATTTGTGCCTAAGCTAATTTTTACATAGAAAAGCGAATGGTTATTACATAGAAAAGCGAAGCGCTAAACTAATTAAAATTAAAATTCTCATTGTGTTCTCCTTCCGAAAAACTGGGATAATGACAACCCCTTATTAAGCATAATTCTGCATCTAGCTATCAGTGTACACTGAAAGTTTTGTATACAGCTTATAGTATGGCATAAACATACTGCACATTTTTGATAAATTATATGCCGGGGAGCTTGCCATACACAGCGTTATTCAATTCATTCGTGTTTTTACTGGTATAAAGTTACATAAATGGTGGCTAGACAAATTTTATCTAATGAACTTATAGAAGACTATAAGGGTTGGTTAGTACATTTCAACAGACAATTAACCTATTGTATGCCAAAGTTGGATTTGTTTCCTTTTACTGTTGCAGGGCAGAGTATTCAGACATTTTCATAAAACATGTCTTGATATAATCTCCATCCTCCAGATTAAGCATGATGGTAGATCATGCTTTTATTCCAAGTGGTGCTTGGAATTAAAGCATTCATTTTGTCCATTGGGTTTTAAAATCATTTAATTTATTTCAATCAAGTATTTATTTTAACCCAAACAAAATATTGTTTTCTGCTAATAATTATAGCAATTTTTTTTATATTTCTATATTGATGAATGGAAACACTCTTGCTGAGTTTTCTAGTTAATATCTTTGAGGACTATTTTTTACTACTGGCCTCTCAAAAATGCCATATAAACAATCCCTTGCAAACTTAACATCTGTTAAAGTTACATCTCTTTATTGTGTTTGCTGATTTCTTACTCTTGGTTTTATTCTTTACCTTTTTTAAATTTTTTATTTGTCCTTCTAAGAGCCGTTTTTTATAAGAATCAGGCAAATTCCTGAAACTATAGAAGTGACCTCCTCTAAATTGCTTGAATTCTTTATATATTGATCAGAATATAGAGAAAACCTGTTGGGGAAAATAAAAGTTTTCAAAAATGTTTCGTTCACTCGAAATCCGAGTTTAAATTTTTGAGAATTTTAGAAAAATTTTTACAAATTTAGTTTTTGCCACCTTTGAAACCATTTTTTGGCAAGGCAAAAAGTTGCACATAACTTTTGTAGTTAATATCAGACGTAACCCAAAAGTTCTCTCCAAAAAATATAAAAAAGTTGCGTGACACTGTGCGGTTGGCTAATTATCATAGTTCAAAAGTACAAAAACATTCAGTTTTGTCAATTTTTAATGGGAGTTATTTCTAATGGCGAAGTGTTGCACACAATTTTTCTTGCAGGATTTGAAAGTATCGTAGGTATTGAGTCTAAAAATGCAAAGAAAGTTATGTGATACCTAAAGCCTATATTAAGGCTTTGAAATTGAAAAAAAAATGTTATACTATACTTACAAAATAACCCATCACGGCAGAGGCGCTAAGTTTTGTTAAAATGTTAACATGTTCAAATGTCAATACAACATAGTCCTAACATAATAATAAAAAAAACTCGTATTATTTTGTCACACACATGATATAACAAAAACTGAACACTTTGACTAAAACTGAACAAAAATTTATTAACATGAATTAAAAACTGATATAACATAAATTAAAAACTGAACAAAAATTGAACAGCAAGAAAATGCTAGTTAAATGAAACATAAATCAAACATTTAAATGTATTTCCATTTAAAAGTTAGTTGTTCATTTAGAAATAGAGTTATTTACACACATGATACAAATTATCCACCTCATTACACATATATTTTACTGTGCTGCAGTAAGTTGCTCTAAAAATAGTGATATGATTGTATTATAGTATACTTTTTCGGATAATGAATAATCGTCACAACCATTGATTAGAAAAGGAGCATTTACTAAACAGATAATTTTATTAGTTTGGTAGTTTATCTGCACGGGAGTAACTGGCCAGCGAAAAGTATTCTTCTCTTGCCCGTTATTCATAGAATTAACTCTGATCCCAGATATAGATACCTAAAAGTATTAGTGCAATATTTTAAAATAATATAATATAGAATTTATAATTTGTTTAATTTTGTTTACATTCAGTAAAACTTATAAAGTCTAATATGTCTTTCTCAAATTATTTTTAAATTATATTTATATTGCATTTATTTTAGAGCACTGTTTTGTAAAACAAAACAAAAACTTGAAAATTTATATATGCTTTGAATAATATTACTTTTGCAGTATATCCAATATTCCATTGTTTTTCGTATACAATAGCAATCCAATCATTCACTTTCCATACAAGACAAATTTCTTTTGCAAGGTCGGCGATGTCTTCGTCTTATTTATTATCATTTTCATTGTCCCCTGTCTG